GTGGGTTCAGTACCTTCTGGTACCAACTGCATATAAATTTGACTCCCTTTCTATATGCACGGAAAAGGGAACATAGCTGAGGCGGGCTGCGCCCGCCTCTGGTTTTTCAGCTTCCTGAGGCCACATCTCATGCTTTTTCCTTTCCTGTTGTAGGGGGCTCGGGGTGGGTTCGGTACCTTCTGGTACCAACTGCATATAAATTTTACTCCCTTTCTATATTAAAAGTGTACATAGAATCAATTCGACCCTATTTCTATATTTAAAATGTGCTAAGAAACTAATGATAGCAAAAACCATGATTTTTGCATGGATTTACCTGTGATTGAGAGTTTTTTGTATTTTTTTCGAAAACAATGCGTTTTTGGAGAAAAATGTATAGAACATATAAATGTATTTTGATGAGATCTACAACTTTTGTATAAAGCATTTTTTAAAATTTTTTTACCATAATGAAAAAACGTAAAAAACCATTATTTTGATGGTTTTTTATGGTTTTCACCATGAAGATGAGCTAGTCGCCAATTTTCATTATGATTTTCGTAATCAGGGCACAAAATTACGTAGGGAAACTAAGTTTCAAGTCGATTGGCGGTTCGAGCTATTCGGAAGTGCACCCTTAAATTAATCACCTGAAATTTTATTTATCTTTTACTATATAATAGTTAAAAAATAATACTTTCTGAACTCTACTGATTTCTTACTAAAAATATACATATTTTTTAGATTAGGAAATAATTTTAAAAAATGTAAACTTCTTTTTTACAAATTTTTTAGAAATTAATTAAAAAGTTCAAATTTTTTAATTTAGATTTTTAAATTTCATAAAAAAATTTTAATAATTATCGGCGTCATTATTTTTGCATAGCCAATAAAAATTGTGTACATAAAATTTTTTAATTTATGACAGTAATAAAAAAGTGTCGAAAAACTTTCAATAAAAATCATGAGTTGAGCCCTTTTCGAAGTTTCCCCTTTTTTTGCTTGTACATTAACACATAAAAGAATTTTAAATTCTAACTTTTCTAAATCTTTATTGTTTAAATGTTCGCTCAACGTTTTAGTACGTCCTAACTGGGTAACGTTCGGTTCGTGTTGCGCTCGTGTTGCGCTCGTCTAGTGGATACGCGCCTTAAGAAGGAAGTGGGAATAAGGAACCAGAGCCCCCTCTACGAGTGGGAATATGTCTCAGTCACCAGCGCTTTATTGCCGACCAAATCGCCCCCCCCCTAAGAGAGCAGCTCAGTTACCACTTCACCCCCCTCCTTCCACTTATGTGTCTCTTTTGGAAGGGATTTATGAAGAGAGGCCAGAGCTGACGTCGCGACGAAATCCAACGCGCGTGTATTCTCGGTCCCCACTGCCCATTATTTTTTAGGGTAGAATGTTTTCGGGTTTGGACCCAATCTCGACCGTCCCTTGCATTGACTCTCCTCCGGGAGCATGTCACAATTGCAGTCAGAGATTCGACAATTTACTCGGAAGCTGGCGAAGTTCTGTCGGAACTGTGGAAAGGAGAAATGTGATTCTCACCGATTGCCCTCGTTGCGCCCGGGTCAATCGTTTGATTATGGCTGTTTTCGGCACTCACCCAGGGTTAACCCCGAGTTATATTATCCAATCATCAAAAACATTCTGTTGGTCTAACCAATCACCATTAACCCGGAGTTAACTCGGGGCGAGTGCCGAAAGCAGCATATGGAGGAGCGTTTTTGGAAGGAACAATACGAGGAATTCCGGCGGCAAAGGGAGAAATACTACAAGCTTCTCCTTAAAACGATGCCTAGGGAGACTACTCTTCCTTAGTTATTCAGTCGAGCGTCGTCCCCTGCCCGGTTGTGGAGAGTACGAGTATATCTCCCCCCGATCAGCGTCCATGAGTGTAAAGAGAGACTAGAGAGAGAGAAGGAGACAGCTCGGGAGATGAAACTTCGATTTTGGAAGGAGTTCCAAAATAAGGAAAAATAATTAAGAGAGTAAAATTTGAAGAACAGTGTCGCCCTAGTAAATATAATTTTTTTTATTTTGCTCCTTTTTGAGTTTTTGGTTTAGTTTTTTTTGTTTTTGTAAAAGGCAAGTTAGCTAACGACTAAAATTTTTTTTTTAGTTTTCCTTTTTTGGTTGTGTTGGCGACACTATTGCATTAAACGAAGTTTTGTTTTTGAATAATAGTGATCAATAAACGCAATATACGCTGAAAATTACTTATTTGTTTTGTTATTTTTGTATATTTATTTAATCGGCAATATTACCGGGGTAATATCGGCCTAGGAGGGGAGTTTGTAACGAAGTATGTATATCGTTACTGAATTCTCTTTCGTTCTGATTATTGTGAGACAGTATATTTTGTCATATAGCTGTCTCACTTCGCTGTTGGCGTTTCTCTATCAACGTCGTTAATTTTAAATCTCTATGATCACCGTCGTGTGTAGTCCGTCAAGTTGTTTTGGGAATGATTTGGCGCATGAGCAGAGAGGAAAATAATCACATGGTCAGCAGTCCCACTTTTTGGCGCGCTAACAGGTGTCGCTGAGAGAGGGATGAGAGAGAATGTTTGATTGATGATTAGGAGATTAGACGGAGAAAAAGGGATGCCGTACCGCGACATTTTATCACAGCCGATCCCCCCATGAGTATCTTGTTTGAGAGAGATTGTGGTAAAGAGTAGTCTAAAAATTCAGGAAAACGGTGCAGATTTTATTATTAGAAGTTTTAAATAATTTAATAAAATTTCCCCTTTACAAATTATAGGAACTAAAGAGGTTTATAACATTATAAAAGGAAACCTATATGAGATCTTACGTAAGATTCTATATGAATTCCTATGTGAGAAAACATGTAAGATCTATGTAATAAGATACTGTTCAGAATGAATGAAAATTTTGTAAAGGAATGACTCATTGCGAAATATAGAAAGAGGGAAAAGGTGTGATGGCCTTGATTGACGAGCATTTTCAGAGAGAAATTAGTCTCTCATAAGAGTGAATGATAAGTGGTTGAATTATTACGACGAACAAATTCGAAATTGAACTTGTAATTATTAATATAAATGTGGAGTGCTTTTCATTAATTTAAATCAAATTGTGATAAATAAATTATTTCGAATTTTAATTTAAAGAACTGTGTTTTATTTGTTTAATCAACATTGACAATTAATTTAGTATTTTTTTGAGAAATTTTATTTTGAACTATACGCAACAAGATTTACTATTACAACTACTTGGCTTGTTGCGTATCTAGATACTATATGAATTCCTATGTGACAAAACATAAGATCTTACGTAATAAGATCCTATATGAATTCCTATATGAGAAAACATATGAGATTTTACGTAATAAGATCCTATATGAGACATGGGATCTCATGTTATCTCACATAGGAATTCATATAGAATCTTACGTAAGATCTCATGTGTTTTCCTTTATAATGTTATAGATCTCTTTAGTTCCTATAATTTCACCGCTAGGTGGCGAAAGTGACTTTTCTCGCTGTTCAGATGATCCTGCAACTCTATGTCGCCTTTCATTTCTACTCTGGTCGCCTCGCGTCACGCCGGGTTGCACTGAGTGCAACCGCGACGCGGCGCGCCGCAATTTATTGTTTCAAATTTAATAACTCAAAAACAAAAAGAAGGGCATTCTGCAAATTTACATGCCGATAGGAAAAAACCTCAGCTTTCGTATGCAATAATTTATTTTCAAATAAAAAGGACCGATTTTTGGGAAATTGAAAATTAAATATTAATTATCAAAAAATTGGGTCAATTTTTTAAATATTAAATAGTAAAATTCACCATTGGAAAGAGGACGAAAAAACCTTTCAGAGACATATTCTACAAAAATTTTTCCATGAAAAGTATCCTTTCTTAAAAAAGACATGGAGTGAAAAGGTCGAATATATCGAAAAGTATCGAAGTAAAGAATGGGCAATTAGAATGTAAAATCTTAATAGAAGGGTGTTTTTAAAATGGTTTGTACATGTGAAGGTGGCGCTGCAGTCGTATGTTATTTAAAAAGAGCGCGAATATATAAATTTTATTTTTGTTAAGAGAAAGTACTCATAATAAATCTTATTTTGCATTGTCAAAAAACACGTCAACATTTCAAATATAAATAAGCAAATTATTAACTGAAAAAATTTGAATATTATTATTAATGAAATAATGGACTTGGACAATGGACATATAAAAACTAGCACCGTAGACGGCCGCTTGCGGCCGTCGGAGGAGCTAGTGTTAAAAAAAAATTCACAAAGTAGCCGGTGTTAACAAAATTGGTCAAATTGACCCCCCTCTTCCCCCTTCAAATTTTCGAAAAAATCAAAAATGTTTTTTGGGGCACATTTCTACTTGATAGAACAACAAATTCCCTGAGTTTTAATTTTTTTCAAGATGTTGAAATTTCAAATTGGAACATTTCACGTAAAATGCTTCATATAAGAGCTGAGAAACTGTAGTTCAGAAAACGTGTTGCAAACTATCAAATTTTTTTACTTTCTGATGACTTATAACATTAATACAATTTATTATTTAATTTTTAACTAAATAATTTTTAATCTTTTAAAAATTTCTTCATTGGATCTCTAATAAAATACCATGTCATATCCTACATGGTCTTTTGTGGCATCTCAAATGAAATCCTATGTCAAATCTCATAAAAAATCTTATGCAAAATCTCATATGAAATCCTACGTAAAATTCCAGGTAGGAAATCATGAGAATTAATATGGATTTTCAAGTCCTACAACGAATGCAAACTCCTATATGAATTTCTATAAAAAATCCTGTGCCAATTGCATATGTGATTTGTTATAGGATTCTACATAGATTCCTACCATCATTCTAGGATTTTTTATGTACTTATAGATAAGGTTACTTACAGGATCCTATATGGAATCCTATATAGGAATTTTCAGTAGGGCCTAGAAAACTTAAGTGACAAAAAAACAATTAAAATATCTATGTAGTTTTGCTAATATAATCATAAATTGTTTGATATCTTACTGAAATAATCCTAAATCAGTGCATGAAAAAACAACGGCATAGTTGTCGTAGTCAGTATCCAAAATCCAATAGGGAGCAGAAAATTTTCCTGGTAATGAAGGGAAAACAACTTCAAGCTTTCCTTCTGTTTGATTACTTTTTACTCTTGCTATTCCTTCAATTGTTGATGGTCGTTCTGTTCTACAAAGATGCAAAAAAATTACATAACCGACATTACTTAGACATTTTGAAAACGAACTAAGAAAAAATTGAATAATTTATCCAATTTGTTGGACTTTGGAGAGCGACCTAATAAATTTTTTAATTAAATGTTAATTAAACTCTTTAGTTTAGAGTTACACTGAGAGAAGTCTGGAAACTAATATGTCCCGTGCGAGGCTTGAGTGATAATTTTGAATTATCTTATGTGAACCCTCAATCGGAACGTCTCAAGATGCGATAAAAAACGTGGAACGTCCCGAAGCGGGATTACTTACAACTTTTAGTTTCGGCCACGAGTTGTTCTCTTACACGGAGAAAAAAATCAGGGCTTTTTAGCATGGAGTGGTCTGTACTTTTAGCGCATGGGCGCTTTCTTACGGCGAAAGAACGAATTTGTACGATTGCAGCAAGAGCTCGCCCTATTTTAGTAAGGAGCCTTGCTGCAATCGTACGAGTTCGTTCTTTCGCCGCAAGGAAGCGCCCATGCGCTAAAGGTACAGACCACTCCATGCTACAAAGCCCTGATTTTTTTCTCCGTGTACATGCGGAAACAATGTTTGACGGATTCGGGGGGCGTCTGAGCCCTAGATTCGAAACATCTCAAACGCGACAAGCAGAGTAGCTTATAGCTACGTCTAGCGGGAACTATTACGCCCTGGACTTCTCTCAGTGTAAGTGTTTCTTAAGAAAATTTTATCGATAAATAATTATCAATTTTAATTAATTTTGCTCAGAAAAAATAAGCTGCGTGAACGAATGCACTGTGCATCTGTGAGGACTCGAACCCCAGTTCATACATAACTATTTTATTATTGGATACTATATTCAAGCAAAAAGGTAACCTATCGATTTCAAAGGTAATGCAGCTATACAGTTGGGTAAATTATGTAAGAAATAGTTACAATTAATTATTAATTGTAGCGCGCTCCAGAGTCCAAAGAGTTGGATATATTATCTGACTATTTTTCTGCATGAGAAAAACCTTATATTATGTATATCATTTTTTGTAATAGAAACATTTATTGTATTATGAAAAGTTAATATATTTTCCCCGAACTGATATCCTAATTTAATGATAAATTCTATTCAGAATTGTTAAATTTTTTTTCGAATTTCGGACGCTATTAGGGCTTAGATGTTGTGTATACATGTCCAGAATACGTGTGCAAAATTTGATTGCTGTTCGACGATGCCTTCTTTAATGCGCAGACGCGCATTGCCGATAAAATAAAAAATTTTAGGTAAATTTACAAAAAGTTGGAATTAAAGCAATTTTTTTCTCTACTTATTTCCAAAATTTCGTTATTTATGAATTGCAAATGTGTCTCACTCTTAGTATTTTTTTACAAAATTAAATTTCCCAAATGGAAAAATTATTTTTTTTCGTTGTCAAAGACCTGTTATACAAAACAACTGCTCATATTAAATTTTTTATTAGTAATTTTTTAAAAATAATAAAATACACAAGATGGTTGATGTTTTACAGTTTTCACCGATTTCACACAATAACTGTCGAAGCCAGGAAGCTTTACGCGTTGCAGTTGATGCTGCTTTGTATTCTGTTTCGGTTGTGGAAAGCGGAACCGTCCGCTGTTGTTGACTTGTCCAGGTTACAGGACTTTCTGATATTTGAAACACATACCCTATAGTTGAACGCCTGGTATCCTGGATGTTGGCAAAATCAGTTTTTAAGTCTCTTTTAAGTATTTTAGGATTCTTTTGGCCGCATTATAATGCGCTTGAGTTGAGTTTTCTTGAAATCAGATGATTAATGTTACGGCCGAACTCCGTAACCTTTTATATTAAAAATAATTATTTAAAATACTTCAAAAATCATAATCACAAACAACACTTCACATAACACGAGATTTTGTAGAAAACATTACAAAAATACTTATTAAAAGAACAACCCTTTGTGAATTCACGAAAGGACATTCTTTTCTTTGACATTTTAATCCAATGCGATTGTAAGCTATTTTATTAAATAATGATTTAACTCTAAAATTATAAACAATTCTATTCAATTTATTATTCCTCTGAATTTCACAATTTTGGGGTGAAGAACCTTAAATATATATTACACTGTTTCTCAGCGAATTCCCTTTTATTGGCAAACAGTTTGTTGACTTTCTTGAGAAATCATAGGGAGTTGTCGAAACCAATTCTTTAATATAAGGAGTGGTGCATCCAAGTCATTGAACTCGGATCATACCACTGCCTAAATCTGCAAGGTTGCAGAAATTGACTTGGCAACAGTCGAGTACAATGAACTTTGCTTATGATTTCCCCACTAAACTGTCTTTGAATAAAATCGAAAGACACTGGGAAATCAGGAGTAGTAATTAGTTGCAGGTCGTAGATGCCTGTTGTTTTAAGCCGGCAATCTTTAGCCTGGCAAATTTCCAAGTCCGACCAGTGAGTCGTGTTTTTAAAAAAAAGCGAAAATCTAAAGAGTCAATAAAAGTTTGTGAAATATAAGTGAATTTGTTTGAAAAAAAGGAAATATAAATAGAAAATAAAGAAAAGGTTAAACTAATAGTATATATATATAGATTAAATACAAGATAATAAAAGTGAAAAATTGCGAAATAAATAATTAAAAAAAAAATACAAGAAGTTAAGAAAGAAAAATTGAAAGAAAATAAATAAAACGAATAAATAAGTAATTAAAAAAAAGAGAATAAAAGAAATTTAAGTAAGACAAAATTCATAGAGTCAGCAAGAAGTTAAATTCAATTTAAATCTGATAAATAATAAAGTCTTATTAATTCTAATATACATATATATATATATATTCATTGTGACAACCTTTCCTTACGAGGTTCGGTCTTTAAATTTTGTGCTCTTTCCAAAGGAATAAAAAGGTGAACTAAGAAATATCAATCTAGTGACCCTAGATTTGATATTTCATCAATTTTCGGAAGTTTATACCAGGAAAAACAGAGAGAAGAGACATTCATCAATTTGGATTAACATTTCAAGGTGGAGATTCCAAGTAGTGAGTAGAACGTATCTCATTTAGTAACACATTCTCTTGAACTCATTCACACACATACACACATCTACTCCTACGACTCACTCAACAGTTAGCATATCTGTAATAGGGATTTTTGAGTAAAATATATCTTATCATTGTTCTTAAACTTAATTCTGTTTTTTTAATTTCAAATTAACCTATCTTCTCCAAATTCAAGGGATAGGATTCTCACCCCTTGGTTGAACTAATAACCGAGAAGAAGGAAGAATCCACTACCCTTTACAAATTATTTGTTCGAAGGACACGTTAAGTTAAAGTTTTTTTTAAAAATTGATATTATTAAATTAATTAATTCAATTTTTCAAATTCGGCTCTAACAATTAAATTGACTGCGAACATAATATGTTGAATTTCCTGAGCATACTCTGTATGTAATTTTTTCCATGAATAGAGATTGATTGATTAGTCCTCTTGATTTCCATGCCGATAAAATGAGTTGGTTGACATGATGTGATCTGGAATTCTTGTTGCATTTCTGGGATTATTTTTTTTAAAGTATTTTCATTTTCCGCAAGGATTAGTCCATCGTCGACATATATACACTGAGAGAAATAGATAGTTAGAATTTGATGGTTAAAAAAAGATTGTACGTGGTACCATCGCTATGTTACTGGTTACAATCTACTAAGATTTAAGATTTAAGATTTATTTATTTGTTATAGTTCAAAAAATGAACATACAAAGGAGTATCACAATTTTTCTTTTTCTCGTAGTATACAAATTCACAGGATTAAAAGAATTAATTAATGAATAACGAACAACACACATACCCACACATGAGGTCCGGAGTCAAGATGAAAATAACATTTCTTTTTTTCTGATACTCAGCATTTCAGTTATTATTTTAACATAAATTTTGATTAAGGAGGGATCGTTAGTACTTAGCTTTTCTAACCATAACTTTGATGGATTTTTTGATAATGTGAAAAAATCTTCAGAATATTTATAACGAATTGAGTTATAAAGAGGACAAAGCGCCAACATATGAATCAAATTTTCTGCTTCTAAATTACAGAAGGGACAAAGTTCATTATATGGCACAATAAATCCGTTTCTCTTAGACAAAATTCTAGAGTTATATACCTATGTTTAATAATCTTATTTGGGCCCATACTCGTTTGTAATTCTCTGGAAAATCCTTACTTGGGGGTTTTCGGGGTCGCTGATCACGAATCTGACATTAATTTTTCAAAATTCAAAATGGCAGATCCCATATACCGGATAAAGAAGGTTAAATTTTATTTAATCCTTTTGAAAATGCTTACTCAAGGGTTTTTAAGGACGCTTAATTTGAATTTCTTTAATTATTTTGAACATCTTTAGCCACCAGTTGCTAAACTTATGTTTTCAATTCTCACCGCGTGGAGGTAGATGAACAACGACAATTTTTTTGTATTTGTTAAAATAATAGTAAATTTATATTTCATCGTTCCCTTTTAGCCAAAAACAGTAATACGATACTGTCACACATACACATTTAATATTCTCTACGAAAATATTCTGTTCCTTCTTCTCATTCCTATTTACGTGATTTAGTCTTATCGTAACCACTGTTATTGATACATCATAACTGAAATGTAATCTTAATATAGTTCTTTATATATATAATAAATATAATAATAAATTAGAATGTTGTCTAATTTTATTTAACATGGTAGCAGAGCGTGGTTGTTAAAAACAAAAGACAGTGGTGAAAAGTTAAAGTGAAAAAAGGTTGAATATAAAAGTTTAAAGACACGTGCTACGAGAATAAAGAAAGAAAATGGCGCAGTATATGAAAATTGATGATATCACAATACCCATATTCGATGGGTCAGATTACTCGAATTGGAAGAGAAGAATTTTAAAATTCTTAGAATTTAAAAAATGCATTGACGTAGTACTAACAGCAAAAACTGAAGAAGAACAGAGTGAACAATGGAAAACCGCAGATATAAAGGCA